TGCATTTTCTGTAATTTGTTGGTATTTTCTGCATTTTTTGCTATTTTTCTACATTTTTTGAAAATTTCTAGTATTTTTCTACATTTTTACAACTTTTTGGTGCTTTTCTGCATTTTATGGTGTTTTCAATATTTCATGCATTTCCTGCAATTTTCTAGTATTTTTTGCATTTTTTCTGCAAAAGTTCTGTGTTTTCTAGTATTTTTCTTCATTTTTCATAATTTTCTGGTATTTTCTGAAATTTCTGCAATTTTTTGCATTTTCTGCTATTTCTTGCATTTATCTACAATTTTTGCATTTTCAGGTATATGGGTTGACCTGACCCTTTTTTTTTGGTCATGTGGCAATCTTGAGAGATGATTCTCTCAAAAATGTTTTTTTGAATGTACGGGTCAACCCAAACCCATTTCTGTCACGTGACAACCTTAAGAGAGATGAGTTTCTCAAAATGTTTTTTTTCGGGTATACGTGTCAACCCGGCCCGGTTCTTTTACGTGGAATCCTTGAGAGAGATTATTCTCTCAAAAATTGTTATTTTCAAGTATATGGGTTGCCTCGACCAATTTTTGCCATGTGGCAATCTTGAAAGATGTTGCTCTCAAAAATTTGTTATTTTGAGTATACAGGTCAACCCAACCTGTTTTTTCCATGTGACAACCTTGAGAGAGATGTTTCTCTTAAAAATTATTATTTCAGGTATACGGGCCATCCCGACCCATTTTTGTATTTATAGGTTAGGGTAGATGGATCAGTATGGGTGAAGGTGGTTAAGGGTCAATATGGATAGGTCAAGTGGACTAATATGGGTGGATTGGGTTAAAGTGGGTTATGACCTTTTAACAAAGATTGATGATGGATCATGATGAATTGATGAATCAATATAGATGAATTAGTATTTAACTCTTATCCAATCCAACCCACCCATTTAACACCCCTACTAATGGATAGAGTTTGATACCAAATGTACCATCCCTATAACCGTATTAGATACCAATAATGGTTTGCACTCATCATAAATTTCACAATTATTGTATTATACCATGGTTCGTAGACAGTAGGGAGGGATGTCAATAATGTCTGAAGTCTGACACTAGATCTGAGATTTCATTCAATTATTTTGGACTTTGGATGATCTGTTTAATTATCTCATTTCATTCACCATTTTGGATGATCTGAGATTAAATGTCAATAATATCAAGAGGCATATCTTTTATTATGATATTGTGTATTCATATACATGTATATAACCCCATATCTTTTTTTGCTTTTTTTTTTCCTTAGATCACTCATTGTTGCCATAGTAGTCTTCTATGCTTCAAAGAATTTCATTCCTCCATTTTATTACCTATCGGGCTACTCCTAGATTCTCATCAAATTGCAAACTTGTCATTCATTCACATTGACACACTCAATTCCTTTATGCTCATTTTATGGAGTCATTGATTCGTGGTCCTCAACCATTTTAATAATAGTAAATTGCACTCATCACATTGAATAATTAATTAAAGGCATTTAAATGAAGCTTTTTTTTTGTATTCCTTGGGCTTTATAACTCATGAATCAAATATGGTCCTGATTAACAAAACAAGTGGGTGGTATTCTGTTAGTAAATCATACATATGTTAAACCTTTTCAAAATGTATGATAAGAAAAATTTTCTATAAAACAATAATAGAAATCTATTAAAGAATTGATGATTAAATATTACACATATATAGTAGTGTATGGTTTTGTCAGCTTAAAATTAACGGTGGGTTGAATCCTTTGTAATGCCATGGATCTTAGTATGAGGTTATAATAGAAAACCCAGTAAAACCAAACAAAATTAAAAGAGCCTCACCCTTCTCCGCACTAAAATAATTATTTGTAATGTTTAATTATCGAAGACTCGTGCAATGTATGGAATTTGTTAAGTTAAAGATAAATACTAGAAATATGTAAGAGTATACAATTATTTTATATAATAATTAATAATTATTTATATTTTATATACTACTTTTAATATTTTTTACAATATAAAAATAACAATAATTAATTTTAGATAGAATTATTTATCAAACTTAAAGATGACAATTTTTCACATTTCCCTGATCCTCCTGGGGGTTTACCCCAAATGAAACAGAAATGGAGATGATTTCCCCCCCACATGGATCCCGATCCCCACTTTATATATATATATATATATATAATAAGAGATTTTTTTATGCTAACTTATATAAAGTTATAAAAATCTCATATGTGACAAGGTGGCACCATTTATTCTCAAGTAAGATTTAATTGTTATTTCCCATTCTAATAGAGTAGCTTCACATTTAATTTCTTAGGCTTTATGGGTTTTTATTTATTTATGATTTTTATGGGTACAGCCGTATAGGCTTTATGGGTAGTGCCTATGGGAATAAAACAAAATCTTCTAGAATGGCCATAATACCGAGTATATGGGAAAATGTATTCAGTGATCATAAACTTCATGGGACATGCATCCAAAACTTTTACTGATCAGCTATATTCATTTAACACCGAGGGTCTGTTTGATTTGATAACACTTGGAATGGATGACTGAATAGCTTATCGCTTTGTCATCTAACAAATAAGTCATGCATTGAGTTGTGACTTGTTAGTTTTTTAATGGCCAAATGGGATGTTGGGTTGATTATTATACCCCCTAAGTTTTTTCTAGTATATTATTGTTTTTATCCATACAAGACAAAATAATAAGTCATTCAGCTCTACCACCTTAGCCTCTTATCAAACAGCCCCTTAGTTGATGAAGGTGATTTTTCAAGTACATGGTCCGAGTGAAAATTGTATATGATTAATTTCATGAAGGGTAGGAGGAAAGGAATAAAACAAACCCAAATTAAAGCAACCAGTTTTTGCTTTTTAGACCCATTAATCCTTGAGTCCTTGACTACTTGACTAGTACAAGCCTACAAGGGTCGTTCATATAGAACTCTGCTTTTAAGTTTTAACCAGGGATTGGATAATTTCATTTGGTATTGGACTCATGCCTATCCAATATGAGGTTTATCACTTCTGCTACAAAAGGAAAAGGAAAAGGAAGTGCCATCTCATGTCAGTCGTTGAATGATTGATTCAAGTTCAAAACCCTCAATTCTTCTTTCTCTCTTTGTGTTTTTCAATAAGTATACAACTTTTGCTAGCTCACAACTCAATCTCGAGTCTTTCGTCGCACAAAAATCACCACTTGGGTTGTAGGTCATATCAATGATCAGCACAACTGGCACCCAATAAGCAACAAGAATGTCTATGACCCCCAGACCCCAAACAGATGTAACAAGGCATCTACCTCTGCTACCGTAAATTATTAATAACCCATCAATGTCCATATACTACACAATTATTTAATTAGAAGTTGTATGGTACTCCCCAGATTTGAACCACTCAAGCAATTATATTAAATCAGGCTGAAGTCTTATCTTAAGAACCAAAGTAGTGGCAACAGCATATGTTGTCTTACTATTAAACAAAACCACAAAGCAAACGTATTGTTGTTTTCAACTCACATCTTGTCTATTCCAATGTGAACACTTGCTGATCATCTCTCAAACATATAGTAAGGAATTTTCTGGTTCTGACTAACCATGATTCTCTCTTCATTTTATGTGGGGTAGGGTAAGAGTTGACAAATTAAACTTAATTATGCTCTAAAGCCAAACTTTTCCCATTGATGTACATAATATGGTTTTTTTATGCATTCCATTTCCTGATTCTCATGCTCTCATCAGATTTTAATCTGAGAAGTGATATAGCTCACTAGCTGCTCTCAGACATGGTGAAAGGTATGAATCCACCTCAAACACCTATGGTAGTGGCTAATATGATGGAGTGCATGGTAATAAATTTGGCATTTTAGAAATAGTGAGACCAGCCAAACAGTCACTCTCCCAAAAGCAGTGCTGAAGACAAATGTGTAAAAGGCATCCTCCTTTCCCTCTCCAAACAATCTCTTGGCAATCTGTTTGTTACTTGGGAATTACAAAATGGTCTTATTTTCCTTTAGCTTTTAAAAGCATATGCTCTCATACAAAAAGTAGTTCTTCTTCCTCCTCTTTTTGCTTTTTTTCTTTTTCTTCTTATTCTTCTTTTATTTATTTTTTCCTTCCTTTCATGTTGTCATGCTGTGAACACCGATTGCCTATTGTTGATCACCTAGATTCAAGCATCTTACAAGAAAAATAAATAGATGGAAAGGAACACACTCATTGGGTATGTGACACGTGGCAATCGGTAACATAGATTTGGGATGTCAGAGGAAACATGGGAGATGGCAATGGCCTGCCTGCATGGACTCTAGATGCCATGTGAAATGAACCATTTCATTTTAATCTAATTTAACATTTTAATTCACATTATCATCATTCAGTCAGAACAATTACTTATCTTCTACCTAGTACTTTCAAATTAGCTATTAACAGTGGAAATTGGAAAAGAGTGCCATTTTTTTTTTTGTAAAATGTCAGTATTAAAAATGATTTTTTTCCTTTTGCATTTTCCTGTTAAAATTTATTATCATTGTGATGATAACTATTCTATTTTAAAAAAAGAAAGACAGAACAACCCTGGCAGTGGATTTGCGAGCTCAACAAGTGAAGAAAGTTGTCCAGCTAACATAAAATAACTTGCCTAGATCGATTCCTAATTTTTCTTAATTCGCTTTTTTTTTTTTTGCCTAATTTTTCTTAGTCTGCTAGAACTTTTTAAAGGGTTGATTTTGTATTTGGCTATTTAAACCCATGTGACTTCCATTCATCATACAGTAAACAATTGTAGACGGATCTTGGAAATAAGATTGCCTTTAGTGTAGCTATTGATTGACTAAAAGTTTCACCTAAATGAGGAATGCCGTGGGGACTCTAGGGGCAGAAGAATAATGATAAGGGCATTGTGGTCCTATCAAATGAATTTGACTATTCTAGTTTTGGATTTTTCAGCTCTGTTTGCCTCTCCACTATGTTTTTGTATCTGTTTACATACAGTCTACACTGATGCACATAAACAAAGGGAGGGAAGGAAAGCAAGAAAAAAAAAGTGGGGGAAGAGAGAAAAGCTCATATGCTTTTGTGTCTCCTCCACAAACAGTGAAGTCCAGGTTGGTGTAAAAGGCAAGGGATGAAATACCCAATTCTTTTTTTTTTCTCTCCTCTAATTCCGGATTATTTCCATTTTTATCAGTTTTTTTTCTATTTCTGCAAAGTTCATGCTTCTATTTATTTTCTTTTATTTTTCTCCTGAACTTTGAATCTCTTCTTAATGTTCGCCCATCAACCACGTAAATAATAAACAAAGAGATATTTCACGATAGCATTGTTCTTTTTAATATTTTTGATCTGAAAAATATTCTTGGGTTGTTGTGGTTGAGGTGCTTTATTTTGCCCACTGCTTGCAGGCATAGATTCTATCGGTATTAGAAATCGAGAGACCCTCTTAGTTGGGGGGTCTCATTCATGCATGATGTGCTTTGATTTATGGTGGATTCTCTGCTCATAAAGATTTCCTGCTTTCCCCCCCTTTCTTTCTCTCTCCTTCTAGTGGACGCCTTTCTCTTTCTGGGCTTCTAGGTGGTTCCGGGCACAGCTTATAGCTGGTGTAAGCAAGAGCAGCTGATGTAGATTCACCAGTTTTATTCCATTTTCACCCACCCAGCTGGGTATAAATAGAGATTGCCAATTTGGTGTTTCTTCATCGCAGGAACTCTTCTTAATCATTGTTGCAATAGGCGGGCCCTGTTGGCGCAGTTCTTCGGGCAGTCGAGATGAGTTTTACTAGCCATTCTGCGGGTTCTGGTTAGTCTCTTCTTCCCCTCTCCCCTATTGTCTTATGTGCGTCTGGATTTTACATTTGGTGTAGTTTTCTATTAAGAATGGCAATGCATGTTGTGGATTCTGGTTATGTTCACATATTTTCTCTTGGTATTTTCTTAACCTAGGGATTGAATGTATTGATTTTTTATAATATTAATATGCGAATGATGATATTATTGGTCTATATTTTTTGTACTATTAGTTTTTTTTCCTGTGCTTGACTCCAATTATGCAAAATATCAGGTAGTAGAGCTGCTAGAAGGACATTCGAGTTTGGGAGGACCCACGTGGTCAGACCCAAAGGAAAACACCAGGCAACTATAGTTTGGCTACATGGTCTTGGTGATAATGGCTCAAGGTATTATTGCCATGTTTCAGTTGCCAACCCCAGATGCCATTATAACGAATGCTTGTTTAGCATTGTTGCTATTTAAAAATTCAAGGCCCGTGGTTTTCTTTAACTGCTTTTATTTAGTACTTGTTTCAGAAATGTGCTGTTCATTTTAGTCTGGATTTACATACTGTGACTGGTGAAAATGGTATACATGGTTAACTTCATTTATTAATTTGTTGATCAAACTTGTACTTGATATGTGATATAGTTGTTCCTTATTCATGGTCAGTGACAACGTGCATGAGTCAACAATGGGTGAGACAGGGACTAGGATGCATTTATAATTGCCTGGATTATTGTGTTCATCCTGTCCTTTGCACCAATGTCTGTTAGATTCCATTCTTTATCTTTTTATCTTGAGTATATTCTTTGTGTGGAAGACTGGGCGACCTTTTGTACAGGAGAAAGAGAGTCAAAATGTCAAATGCTATTTATGTTCTCTTACAAGGGTGATTTATATTTAGCCATCTTGATGAATACATCCTTTTCATCAAGATTCTTATTCTGAGTGATTGGATGGGGGAGAAACTGGTTCCATGAACTAATTAGCACATGATTTTTTGTCTCTCTTTTTTCTCTAAGCTTTGTTATGGAAGCCTCGAATAAGAAAAGTGAATATGCTGAAATATTTGAATGGGGGACCACTAGCTCACCACTTGAGTCATCCAGCCAACTGAACAAATAAATTAGTTTGGCCTCATATGGAACCCCATCTCCCAAAAGATATTTATATCATTATGCAAGTAAGTAAAGGATGGAATCTGTTTTGCTTGCATGCTTGAGCACTTTTAGACATTCATTTTAACAGAATTTGTAGTTTTCTGCCACTAGGATGATAAAGAAGATGCTCCACTTTGAGTGTGCTACCATGATTAGATAGATTAACACAACTGTAGCTGGTGAATCTTTAAGTTCTGCAATAACTGTCTTCAAACTTCTTAAAGAGTAATGAAGACTATTTCAAAATCTGTTCCTCATATTTCATATTCTCAGATAGGTTATTTGTCCTGCTCTGAAAAAGAATATTTTTCTTATTGAACAGAGTAAAAAAAAGTTTTCTTAGTGTTGTCTTTGTTTTTGTGCAGCTGGTCCCAGCTCCTGGAAACACTTCCTCTTCCAAATGTAAGGATAATAACTATTTTCCCATCTTATACAGTGTTTCACTAGTTTTCATCATTTCCATTGACTGAAAATTTCTTCCTTTATTGATCAATTTGTTATTTGTGTTTATTGAAATTCTGTGCTGCAGATTAAATGGATATGCCCAACAGCTCCTACTCGACCAGTAGCGATCTTTGGTGGTTTTCCTTGTACTGCATGTAAGATTGATTTGCCTTGGAAAAACTGGATTTGGAATCACCTTCTTGTGTTAATTTACTGCAATGGAATACTTTTTCAAATGCTTCAAAGTTGAGTTTAGCTACTGCACTAATGCAAAATATACTCTAACAGTGCTTATGTGATTTACACCAGGGTTTGATGTGGGAGACCTTTCAGAAGATGGTCCTGATGATGTGGAGGGTTTAGATGCTTCTGCAGCACATGTTGCAAACCTGTTGTCAACAGAACCTGCTGATAGTATGTTTCTCCTCTAGTAGTTTTCAGCACTCTTTTAAACTCATTATAATGGGAAAACTTCTTAGGTCTGACTACTGTCTTTTATGAAGATGGATTATTTTATGTAGACCTAATAATACTTCATCAATTTGAAAGTCTTATTTATTTAAAAAAAAATGAGAAAGTTTAATTCACTAGTTGTTTAGAAAGTTGAAGCATTTATAGCTAAGCCTGTTGTCAGGTAAGTTTCTATATTATATTTTCATTGCTGATTCTTTTTTTTCTTGGGGGAAAGGGACAGAGGACCTTCGTTATTTTTCTCTCTTCTGGTGTTTGTATGCTTACCCACTGTATCATTATCAACTAATCGTATCCCTCCCCATTTTTCCCTTGTAAATTAATTTCATAATAACAAATCTTTAAATATAACTATCAAATTATTTTGATATACAAGCGGTATTCATATCTCGCATCATGCCTCGTTATGTATGCTCATATAGTCAGTCTGTAGTTCAATTGGTCAATCTTCTACCTGTAACATGAGGTCTTCAGGTTCAATCCTTGCTTATTCACTGGTTCTGCAGAAATACAATAACCACACCAAGAACAAAGTACAAACTTACATTATCTCAAAATTTCATTGCCCTGGCACTTATCCTCTATTCCTCTTTCTTAACAGTTAAAGTTGGTATTGGGGGGTTTAGTATGGGTGCTGCAACTGCCCTCTATTCTGCAACTTGCTGTGCTCAAGGGAAGTATGGGACTGGCAACCCATACACTGTCAACCTAAGTGCAGTTGTTGGTCTAAGTGGCTGGCTTCCGTGTTCAAGGTCTGTATTTTTTCAGCCTGATCTTTTGTCCATCATCCACTGCCCACTTCCACTCCCACCCGTGCACTGTTGTAATGGCCATTTATGCACTCTCCCTTGATATATGTAGTTCATTTTTACGCTTATAGGTTGATGATTGTTGTTTTCTAGGAGTTTGAAGAACAAGTTGGAAGGGTCAAATGAAGCTGTTAGGCGTGCCACATCTTTGCCCCTTCTATTATGTCATGGCAGAGGTATTTTATATTTATTTCACTGTGATATGTTGATATGATAAGTTAATTCACTCAGAATTTATTGTTTAATTGTTTTATAGTCTGTTTATGAGAAAGCATGCAAACTGTTGCACATAATGAGTTCAACCACCACTTCTGTGATCTTAGGCTGACTTAGTTTTCTATTTTGTGCCAACACCACACTAATTTTAACGTAATGTGTATGCTTTCCTTTGCATAATTGATAGGTCTGACAATTATCATGATGTTAATTCAGACCATTTTTCGAAAGTTTTTCTTAAACCCACTGTAAAAAATATTCTTATTTTCCCAAAGTACCAGAGAAATGATTTGCTGTTTCCACTTTATGAAACTTGTACATCAGTATGACAGAACATTTTCAAGAAGCATAGGTCTGAGGAACTTATTTCTTGTCTTCACATTTTTTTAGTTCCTGACTTACTGTATTTCCTAATTTCATATTTTTTGCTAATTCAAGAAAAATAGTTCATCAAATTTGAGTATCAGTGGACTTATTTCAAAGCATAGTCAAATATTTAATAGGCACTGAAATCTAGAAAAGGGCAAAGAATGAAAAGATGGAAATAATCATTTTTTACCATATCAACTGAGATATCAGGTACCTAATTATCACAACAAGATAACTGTGGCTGCTCATCTCATGTGTTTTAACTTTTAAGACTTGATTCAAGATTCCCTTTTTTGCTCCTCCTTGATTCAGGATTTCCAAGAACCTCTCCTAGAGCCAGTCGATTTAGAGGAAACTTGGTCTAATAATTTAGATACTTGGAAAAATGATTGTAATAGCTGAAATAAGCATGCAAAGGCTATTGGCATCATCATCATTGTAGTCCTTAAATTATCCATTTCAAACCTCCTATGATTTGCTTAAGGTCCCAAATTCTAAACGAGGACCATCATGCTCCTCACTGATGTTATTCTAGGCCTTAAATTCTCCATTTCAAACCTCCTACGATTTGCTCAAGGTCCCAACTTCTAAATGAGCACCATCATGCTCCTTACTGATGTTGTCGATGGTTTTCATTGCACGGGTTGAAATTATATCATTTAATTCTCCTTTATTTTATGACATATTGAATTCATTATTGGTTCCATTGGACAAGATGAAGCTTATTTATGATCTTTCTCCTCAATTTCTATTTGATATGATCATTCTCATTCAATCTAAATGAACAATAAAAAAAAAAAAAAAAAAATTGCTTGTAATTTCCTGGCCACCAACAGTCATCTCCAATGCTCTATAGCCTATAGATCATAGCCCTTTTTTTACAATTTAGAAATTTACCCTTTGTATTTCACAATGTCAACCACATAGCTTGCATCCTAATTGAGGTTGCTTCTTGTGCTGCCTTTCATTTAGGATGCAGTGTCGAAGTCAGGTTCTGAACTTCACATCAGGCTTTACCAAATGTGCTGATTTGCTCATTATAAATGCCAAAATATTGTCATTTACTAAATAATTACCCCTATACATGCTTTAACCTGCAGAATGCAGAAGGTAAATTAGAAACGTTATTTTTTATATGGAGATTGTTGACTTGTAATTTTCTTCTGGCAGCCGATGATGTAGTCCTTTATAAGCATGGAGAGAAATCTGCAGAAGTGTTAAGTTCATCCGGATTTCGTAATCTTACCTTTAGAACCTACAATGCGTATGATTCTAGCCACAATGTTCCTGATTAATATTTGCAAGAAAGAGACCAATCTACTTAAAAGTATTTGGTTTTACTATGCAGGCTTGGCCACTATACGGTCCCAGAAGAGATGGATGAGGTCTGCAATTGGCTTACTGCAAGGCTGGGGCTAGAGGGGTCCCGCCCGTAATCATACCGCCATTTTAATTTTCAAATAATAGCTTAATTACAAGAAGTGTTAAGAGGGTGCCGGGAAATGATATTATTATCTATCTGTAATGAATAGAAAGTGAGCAGTTAGGAGTAGATGTGGGTGTGGAGTATATGGTATAGTGGCATCAATCTAGTTCTTCCCTTTTGCTCTTTTTTGCCTTTCTTAAAAGGAACTTTTGAATATGCTCCTCTCTTATTTAGGAGTAGATTTTGGCACCTAAATGGATTGGTAATGGCGCAGAAGAAGCATCCAAAGTTTTTCATATGGTACTCGGAATTCTTTTATCAAACCTAATGTGCTAAATCCCTTGGCATCAAAGTGTTTGTTCTAATTATAGTATTGCTACTTTGCCTGTTCTAATAACAATATTTCTTGCACAGGTAGAACTCAAATTCTGAATTATGGTTATGTCCAATTGATTGGGACATTAATAGGGTTAGTTCGGTTTTATGAAAGCCAGTTATCGGCTTGTTTGTTCACTCGCCATTAATCAATGGAACAGCTAGTTATGAGTAGTTTTTAAATTGTAGAATAATTAGGGAAATTTGAGAAAAAGAAACCAATTAGAGGGAATCGGACTTTGTTAAACACTCAGCCTCCTAACAGTACAACACATTGTAACGTTCCCACTAGCCCTATAATCACTTTGATAATTAGAAGAATAAATTCAAATAACACAACAGTCAGAATCAAAAGAAAGGGGGATCATAACCTTGCCCACTCGTCTGTTTCTGAATGAGATGTTTTCAATAGAAAGAGAACATGTATACGTGTATCATCCTGCGCATCAGTGAGTCCAAGTCGGGGATATCAACCAATCAAGGGTGTCAATGGACCGGTTTTGGATTGGATCCCGTCCAGTCCAAAAATCAATTTGGATGGACCAACAAGATATATTGGATTGAACCAATCTGGTCCAAAATATTTATTAGATTGGATTGGACCTGGTCTGTCCATAACAAACTTATATTAGATTGGGTTGGATTAAGCCAATATCTAGTCCATTGATATAAAATAAGAATACATGTGTCAATGGAATGGATTGGGTTTGGATTGAAATCAATCTAAATCAAAATGAATTTGAACAGATTGAATGGTCCAAATTGGCCCAAAACATTCATTGGATTGGATTGGACTCACATTGGACTGTATTAAATTGGACCAAATCCAGTCTAATTGACACCCCTACAAGGCTACAACCAATTCCTGCTTTTAAGTTGAAGAGATAATGAATGGATTTGGAGGATCCCCTCGGACCCCTCCATTAGGGCTGCAAACGGCTTCTGTTTGCAACCAAGATTTTTGCAGACCTTTCATGTCTGTCACTTTTCTCCATGACCAGGAATGCAACACCTAATCATGCAACGCACTCGTTTGGTTGAAACATGTCATGAACAAAGCATTTGAAGTTTTTGCTTTAGCATTTTGCCATATCCGACGGGGGGCATTGTCATGCCCACGTTTTACGATCATTTCTGCACAGCCATTGATGTGGTAAGCTACTAAGCTCATTGTCATGAAAGGTAGTCCGTAGTCATGCCAAACACTAAGGCTGCATTTGTCATTCCTTATTTTAAGGACTTGTCTCTTTTTTGCTGTTAAAATGCCCTTATAAACACTGAATTTTTAACACATAAGGAATGCCAAATGCAGCCAAGTGTTGTAAAACTGGAACGGTAAAGGCGTAAAGCTATAAATATCAGTGTAAATTTTACAGCCTACAGTCTAGCATTCATGTTACCACTCAGTAGTCAGTACCACAAAATGTTTTGTTAGAACTTGTTAATCTATCAAAAGCTGTTACTCTCATTTCAATATTGATTTAGCTGCATTTTTACCTAAATTTTTTTAGCTGCATTCATGTTACCAGTACCACAAATTTTTTTATCTAAATCAAGAACCAACTACCAAGCCAAAGAGGATTATGACAAACATTGGCCAGTTAAATTCGTATCACTTTCCGGCCGTTAGGGGCAAGAAAGCAGAAGTGCGGAATACCAACACGAGACCCATCTCCATAATGGTATACCTCTTTTTAGTAAAGGAAATGTTTTATATTAAGCAAACACCAAATAGAATAAAAAAGAACAGAACAGGAACAGCGAGAAAGGAAAGAAACCACACACAAAAAAAAGCACGGAAACAAGCTAAAGAATTTAAAAGAAAGATCTAAAATATAACAATTTTGACAATAGTCAACTATGCTGACTTTGTTACATTTTAAGAGCTAAACAACCAAATCATAACTAACAGCATAAAAGAGTCGAGAATAACAATCAGATCATAACTAACAGCATATAAAAGAATATAAATGTTTGAGCTTAAAATGAGAATTTATTTTGACCACCCAAGGCATGAGGACTAACTTCATGAAAATTAGTCTATCTCTTTCATCAGCGAGAAGGAAGCAAATCAACAAATAAACGTCCGAATGAAGAAAAAACAATATCAAGGACAATAACAGGAAAAAAATGGTTGACAAATGATGATACTTGCACTGTCACCATATTTGCCCACTCTAGCACATTAAACTTTTGGACAATTGTCTACATGAGTTACCATTTTCCTTGCTGATAAAACAAGCACAGAGCACTATTGATAAATATGGGGAAGTTTACAAGTGCTGCTGGTATCCAGTCCTACTACCATTCTTTGATGTTTGAAATGCTGCAGTTCCTTGTTGTAAATGATGCCATTCTGAGTTCAACCATTGCCTGGCTACCCAAACTATAATAACCTACAGGACCCTCCAACAAGCAAACATCAGTTGTTAGCACCTCTATTAACCCTGGAAAGAAGGTAATAAAATCTAAGTACAAGCATGATTAGGCTTACCTCATCTCATGTGCATAACTCACTTTCCAGTGCCACTACATTTAGGTTCACTATATGGAGTAAGAGGAGGAAATGAAGGTACAGCCTGCAATATGAACTTGCGCCCACTTTTCAAGCCAGGAGAAGAGCTTGACCTCAACTCATGCAAGCGACTGTGAGGAGGAGAAACTCGCTTCTGATTCGGGGAGCTTGCTTTCACTGCCTTGATGGGTGTCCGAGTGTCCTTCAGTATATCAGGTGTGTCATCCTCCAGGATGTCAAATAGCCTGTTATCAGAATCAGACTCTTGGGGTAGCTCACAGCCACCTAACCTAGAAATAGGAGTGATCGGTGAACTCCGCCATCGAAGGGAACCTATTGCTGACAAACGGCCACTTCCATGACATAGTTGGGTTCTTGAAACCTTGGTACAGTCTCTGGAATTGGATGAAACTGAAGAGGTTGAGAAATTGTCTCCACTCATTTTTTGTCTTCTTTCATTGCTGTTTGATTTTAGTGGAGATACCGGGGACTTTCCGTAAGATGATAAAACAATTGAATCAGATTCTGGTGAGGGGAGACATCTTATAGCAGGAAGCCTGGATTTTGATGCATCTTTCCCATGGCTGGATATAGAAAGAAATAAAAATGACAATATGATATCAGATCATTGTAATAAGTTCAGGCCCGAATCCAAATCTATGTTCCATCAAGGAATTTAAATTCACAACCACTGAAACCATACCTTGAGTACTGAAATGATGGTGTGAGGGGTGATAGGTTGTGTGGATGAAACTGCTCCGGGTCTAAAATATCATGTATTGTCTCCTTATCCAGCTTCTCACTAGATGTATCCTCCCATCTTTCTCCAGCCCTTTTGTATACCATTTCTGTGATTTCACCATATCCTATAGAAAAGTAAGTTTCTTGGTACAGATAAATGGAAAGAAGGAAACGCAGTACAAGCAAACCAGCAACGAAAGATATTTTAAATAAATTGCAATATTTAGTTACAAATTTCAATTAACTAAGAGTCAAGTGACTCAGGCAAGACTGACAAGAGTCATCACTTGGACTCAAAGGAGTCATGGCTTGGAGTCAACACCATGACCTAGCCCCCAATGCTTAAGAGTGAATTTGTGGGAGTCAAGGTATCAACTTGGGACCTGCAAGATATACTCTTCCGTAAGTAAAATCCTATTTTTGAAGGACAATTCTGAGGTATTTAACCATGGTTTTGAAAACCAGACCGGAAACAGAAGCATTTTGGCCACTGGTTCCCGGGTCAAACTGTCCAATTGCCTGGCCAACCCCAGGCCGGGGCAGTTTAGGGGTCCAAAACCAGACCTGGACCCATGGACAGTTCCCAGGTCAACCAGTCCAACCATCCAGTTCGATCAGGTTTTCAAAACCATGTATTTAACATAAGATGGTGAAAAGGTTTTTAGGGGTAAGTTCCATAACCAACCCTCACTCCCAAAACAATCATATTTTTACTGAATTGTTATTTGGATGGAATGAAGGTACCTTTGCTGAATGCGGATAAATTTAAAAGATCAGGGTAAGATAAAATACTGTTGCAGGATGTACTCTATAGTTTAATAAAAAAAAATTTAAGGTGGCCACCAGCCACCCGGAAGAAATGGGTACAATATTAATGTAACAGAGAAGATAGAGATAAAAACTAAAGAAACCCTGAAGGAAATCCTTTACTTCCAGGTAACCCAAAAGCCTTTTACGTGATTCTTTTACTTGTTAAGCTCATCAAGAAACACTTCCTATCACTTCAAAGTAACAATTTCTTTTTAAATTTGTATCAAAATGGGTGTTCAGCTGTGGAAAAAAAAAAACAAGGCCCTGGCTGACTTGCTTCGTCATCTTCTGATGGTTTGGCTGTAGTACCAAGAAGTCATGAAAGTTAAACTCCTAGAATTGACACCTACTTTATAGCATGCATTGTGCATGGCACAGGAAAAAGAAATTGAACCTCAACCAATATCAGGGAAACCAAACAGGAAAACAAATGGAAACTACATAAATAGACAAGTTAGCTTCTATTGTCAAGAACTATAGATAATGAGAAAAGAGGATGAGAATGTTTACGCAGGTAAGGATTAATGGTAAATAGTTTTCACCGCCAATGGTTATAATGCACTTGTTTAGAATTATGTGCAAATAATTATTGGACCATAGTACCATACATGTAAAGACGGTCCAAATCAAATATCCCACCACAGCAACGTTATATTTGGGCAGATGAGTTGCCTTCATATGGAACCATGGATGCTGGTATAGAGTGTTTTATTGCTCTCCAGTGCACTTGAAATATTGGCATTTTCAATCACAAATTTGTCCTATGGAATGGAGAATGACTTTGTTCTCAAATAGCACCACCAAGTATTTCAGACTAAAAAAATTGCAAAAAGATGAAGAAAACATAATGACAATTTTGATATACTTCCCCCATGACTATCATTTAACAACTCAAAATCCATGAAGAGCTGTTAGGGTGACCAGCACATTTTTGAGACATTTTCCAGTAATGCCCAAACCTGTCACGGTACAAGGGTATCCCCCTTACACTCATTTGCTAATTTTACAGGTATAGACTCCAAGAAGGCATCAGTGGAGAGGCTTTAGGTGGGCATCGTTTTTCTGTTGAAAATTTATCTTTGTGATTTTTGTAAAGTTTGCATCTACTTTTTCTAAAGTACTAATTTAACTTTGGAGAATAACAGTGAGACAAATTATGTTTCTGTATATGCACTAACATGTGAGACTCGGGCCTTGATTTCAATAATGATTATCAACAAATTGTATGAACTAATAATATAGTCATTCACTACCAACTATGGCATCTGTTTGGCAGTTTTTTTATGTCTCAAAACAAAATTGGTAGGGGCACAAATGGATCGGATCACCCTGTCTGATCTGAACTGGCCTATATATTATATATTTATAAACATATTTACTTATAAAAAGACATGTATATATTAATATATTTATTAACACATTTATTTATAAATATGTTTATATTGCGTTTTTTGTAATTTTTTTATAAAAAGACATGTATATATTAATATATAATGAAAATAGTTGAAAAAAATACGTATACTTTTTTCTTTATATAAACTTTTATGTTTTTTCTTTTAAAAATTTATCAAATTTTTCATAATTTGAATCAAACCGGATCATATTCGAATATCTGGCACCCTTAACGGATTCGTATTCAAATTCAATCACCATTTATGGGATCCGAGCGGATCTTTGATGTGTGCATCGGACCAGATCCCGGATATACCCTGATTTGAATCCAATCCGATCCGTTTGCATCCCTAATAAATGGAATGCTGTTTTCCCAAGCCATACTACCTAAAATAACCGGCTACAGGAAACAATACATAATATTTGCATCCCAGTTTGCTCCTCCAGAAATATTCATCCTATTCTTCACTTTACCAGGAAAAGACTTCAATATAGCATGAACAGTGATTAAACATTGTTATATTAGTGAAAAAACATAGATCAATCTAACAATAAGTTTCTAATAAAAAAATACTTACCTTCCTTCACACCAAAAACATTTTTGCACCCCTCACATCGGCATCCATCAGAGCATCCAACACCAGCCTTTTATTGTCAAGGAGAAGGATGCGTCCAATCAGAAGAAGTTCAAAGCATGCATAGCAATACATGAGATTAGAGAGAGCGAGAGAATCAAACCTGATAGCACTCACAATACTTTTTTAGACACATTGATTTCTTGCAGTTACATCCTCTTTTGTGCCTGGCAGAAGATGGTGTCATCCTGTTACCGTCTTCCTGCAGAAACATGACTATGAAGTGTCTATTTCAACAATGCAAAAGAACAATATTCCCATTGATTTAGAGAAATAGAGAATTGTTACCCCAGTGTTTGCTGGAGATTCAGTCACATGCCGTACAATCTTTGGAGCGAATGCAAGTGGGTTGCGGGATTCAATCTGTTGTCGGGTCCCAAGAACTGTGTCCTCATACTCAGGCTTGTTGAAACACTCTAGGCATGCACAAGGTTCTGCACAATATACTCCAGCTGCAAAGCACTCACAGTAACTGCCAGAAGGAAGAAGATTGCACGTGAATTGCAATGACAAGAATGTTAAGTTGCACTCATGACCAAACCTCATATCACTTACAGTTTCAAGCATTTTGACCTCTTACAATTGCAACGCTTGCAACCCTCCTTCTCAATTGTGTGTGATGCCCTCTTCCTGAAGATATCAATGCTCATCATAGTGCTTCCAGTAAGGCAAAAAAATCAAAAGGCATATCTTTTAGAACAATCATTTACACTTACCTCTTCTTTTTGGGGCTCAGTTGGTTTATCTCCTCAAACCTATCAGCATTCTCTGAGGCAGACCTTTTCGCATCAGGAGTCATGTGATGCTCAGCAACCTTCAACTTCTGTGAAGGGACCACCACTATAGCCAGACTTTCTTGTTGATCATCAGAAGTATTAGCTGAAAAGTTCTCAACTGTATTTGTTGCAAGAGAGATCATCTTTGAGTCTTCGGGTAAGTGGTGGTCAATAACAGCCTCTGACTTCGCCTCTAATATTCTAGGATGTTCCCTTTCAGTGAATTTCATGCTTGCAGTTGCACTAGAGCCCATCGCAGCAGCATTAACAATGCTATTTAGGTGCAAGCCAATACCAGATGGCCTAGGAACAGACAAGAGAGCATTTCCACTCTTTTGAACAAATCTATCAACATTATCTACATGGGCTTCTGTATTTTCAACTGCACAACGAGACAACCTGGAAGTTATAGGCTGGGATAACTTGACCGGTTGCCTCATGCTAGAAGTCGCACTTGATTTGAGATGAGATGAATCCAGAATCTCCAAAATAGCAGGTAACTGCAAATTGTCCATACTGTTCTCCGAGTTGCAACTATGGCTGGTCCCAAGAATGTTCCTTTGAGCCTCAGCTGCCTCAAATTGAAGGCAACGCCTACGGGTGCCACGGTTTTGACTGGCAGCCTACATTATTGACTGATGCAATTATTCTACTGCAAGGAATCTTCAAAAGCATTGATAATTTAAAAATAAAAAATAAAAGCATGCCAGAATTGCTTGCTTCGGTTCTCTCAGGATGGGGGGAGAGAGAGAGAGAGAGAGAGAGAGAGATCTAGCCTTCCGTCAGTAAAAAAATCAATTTTCCAACAGCATTTCTATCAAGGATGATAGCCCAGGAAGAAACTAGAAGAAGCCATGGAGTACCTTAAAAACAGAAAAGAAAATGAACTGTGGTTTCTGAAGTAATATTAAATTTCTGAAAGCAAATGCTTCACATCCATTCCGTACGGATAGCCTTAACCCCATTCGCCCTTACTCTAACTAGCCTGAGTAAATCAATTACCACAGCCCCATCCATCCCCAAGAAGTTAAAATAAGCAAATAATGGTAAATATCATAAGAATTCATAGAATCCTTAAAGAAGCTAAATGCTACAATTTCAACAATAATGCATAAATATCATATAAAACCCTTGAATATCAAAACGCTTGATAATAAAATCTTAGCATGATGCTTCAGTGCAGGGGGCCAGGGCTCAAGGAAGTCGTACCTGGCTTTCATTGACCACTGCTACATCCAATGCGGTTTGATCGGAGGAGTAACAGTGGCAAAGTTAACAGGGTAAGGAAGACAACCCAGAAGTTGGCACTCCAGCACCCATGACTAGGGGTGCTCATAAAAAACCCAAAAAAAAAAAAACAATCAAAAATGTGGTTAACCAAACCAACCAGTATATCTTTTTATATTATATATATAATATATATGCCACATATTATATATAAATATATATGCATTATATATATATATGATATAAATATAAAAAATCAAAAAACCGAAAAACTGAACCAGTCAAAAGCAGAAACTGGTCAACCAGTGGTACTGGTTCTGTTTCGGTTTGGGAAACTGCAAAAACCGTGAGCACCTATGCCAATGGTTGTTCAGAACAGAGAACTAGTTGTCATTCTGTTTGAGGCTAGATAGGATGGTGACCACATCACTCGACATTAATCAAAGAGTGATTAATACTCCAGGGGTGCCAAAGGCCCACTAATGCTCTAAGAGAAAGACGTAAGTGCCACCATCACCAGAGGAGACAGAGGAGACCAATGAGAGTTGCTTCGACATTGGGTGAAAGGGGTGGTGTTTGGGTCCAAAGACTCCAAACTATGGTGCAATCATCGCAAGGACACCTAGCGGTGGTTCCTATGATGTCAGTGGTCGGTGGAGGTAATTTGGCACCTAGTCAAAATCCCAAAGCTTTTTTATTCAATTTCAAATTTTGAATCACCCTCATCTCAATTGGAAACACAAGCAGAGAAGATGGAATCATGGAATCATGCTTGAGTTTGGATGCATTTGGCTAATGTTGTTCATTCATTCATTCTAATAAAATATCTTCTTAAAAGGCAATTAAAGTTATAAATTCAGTATTTTTTACGTGAGAATTAAGAATTTAGGACCCTAACATGGATTTTTTTGGCTTGCCTCGAGGGGCATGATTGAACCCCCCCCATCTTGAGGGGGAGTGTAGAAATAGTTAGTAGCCACGAGTGTGAGGTTCCATACCCACACTTAGGCTCTAGTGTGTGTGGTTCCATACCCACACTTAGTTATTTTAATCCTTTTAAGTTGGGCCGGCTGGCCTTATCCTATGTTATGATTTGTTTTATTCTTGATAGGACTAGAATTTATCTTTTTTTCTCCTATTCTTGTAAGGAAACTAAACTATATAATGAAATTTATGGGGCAGCAGAATTATCAACCAAACCCCTTTCTCCTCTCTTCTCTTCCCTTCTCTCCCTCTTCCCTTCTTCTATTCGAAGCCTAGTTCTTTTCTTTCCTTTCTTTTCTAAATTGCAGTAAGACAGAAATCTACTAGCTTTCTTTCAAGTCAGGTCCTGGTTCTGATTTACCAAACAAAAATAAAATCCCAGTTCTGATGTACTCAACTCAGCCTTAATCTCAACTATTTTCCAGTTCTAATTTACAACAACAAAAAATCAAGTTTCCTAGGTAACCACAAATATCAACTTCAGTATTGACCGGACATAACCGCAAGTAGTTGGCTCTAGAATCCCCCCCCCCCAAAATCGGGAAGACCATGGTTAACTCTAGAGAAGTTGAGTTTAGTCCAACTTCTAATATCCAAAACCATGAGAACACCTAAAACCCTTAAACAAAAATAAAAGATAAGTCAACAGAAGACTAGGCAACAACTTCTGTAACTTTTACCAACATACTTGCATAATTGTAGATTTGTAGTTTAAGCTTAGAGTAAGCCACATAGAAACAGTAATTGTTGTGACATCTTCCTGAGTAAACCATGTGAAACAACTATTTGGTTCAAACTTTTTTTCCTTATAATTAAAATGAGATTATGATGTTACCTCATTTAAAGAAGAAGAAGAAGAAACAAATTAAGAGGCATGTTATTTCTACCTCAAGATCTTGTGGCATCTTTTTCTCAAAAGATCTCCTTGATATTACTCCTGAGTTCTTATCATGATCTTCATCTGCCTGAGCAATATGCAATGATTCATTCAGCACCTCAGTAGTACAATCCCATTTGTCCTGTTTCCTCACCTCCGTATTCTGCAGCTTAACTTTTTGAGATTTATTGTGACAAACACTTATGGACAAAGTAGACCTTTCATTGTCAAGAGACTCAAGACCCACAGTTTCATGCTCCGTTTTCTTTGATTTTATGAAGGTAGATTCTGTAGAAACCTGGTCCACTAAGTTTTCATCGTTCTCTGTAGCAGAAGCAAGTTCAGGAGACAAATCTGATTCAACAAAATCATTGACTTGCTCGGACAATAAACATGGAGACTCATTGGACAACCTTTCAGCATCTTTTTGTTTGTCTTTGGTTTCAACTAATTTAATAGGCAACAATGACCTCCCTAGATAGTTCCTTCCACTTTTCTCTAAAGAGGTCTCACATGCCAAAGCTCTAGAATCTGTATCTTTCTTGGCATCAATCTCAATGTCAGACTTTACGACAGTTTCTTCTGAGCTGGTACATTGATTTTGTATTTGTTGAGGTGTATCATTAGATTGTTTCAAATGTGAATCAGCTGAATTTGGAGAATCCGCATCCACATGATCAGCCAGATATTCATCAATGTACCCTGAAGGACTGCATGAATGAACCTGTGGAGAGTCATTGCTATCACATTTTTTCTGAATATTATTGCTTATATCAACCATTGGTTCAGTAATAGATGGTCCAGACACATCTGAACTTGCTATAAGCATCTTGACTCTATCATCATTCTGAGAAAACTCTGTATTTGATGAGTGAAAATATTGGGGCCTGAAATATAACCAGGATTTCCATATGACCAACTTTTTTTATATTGTAGTAATGAACTATTCAAATTATAGAAACAGAAGAGGTAAAATGAAGGAATGAGGGAGTCCCAAAGAAGCTTGCCCTATTAAATTAGGAAATGCCTATAATGTTTTTTATTAGCAAATGCCCTATTAAATTAGGAACATCCAATACCTCTTCAGGAAGCTTGCTTCACGCTTAGTATTGATGCGAGGTGAGGTAAAAACAGGTGCTGGAGCAGAAAAATTAATCTCTGAAAACCCTTGTGCAACACGTACAGTCTTGACTGTCTTTATAGGTGACAGATTGCTAAGGTAATTGAAGAAGGGAGAATCCTATAATAGAAAAAAAAAATACATATACACAAAAAAAAAACATACTTTAGAATGTTATGTGTGCAAAAAAGGCCAATTCAGAGCATATTTTGTCAATTTCAGAAATGCACAGTCCATGATAAGTTAATCCAGAGAGCAATGACCCAATAAAGATGTCAAACTAATTTAATGCTCAATATCTTCAGAGGTTGGTGCCTTGTTCATCCGAGGGGGGAAGACCAAAAAAATTCAGAAAGTGATTATATGTTGAGCTTTTCTCCATTCAGCTTTCTACAGTAAGATTGTCATTCTCTAAGCAATTGTAAATCTATAAACCCTCACCAAGAATCAATGGACAAAGATGCAAATAGAAATAAGAGTTGAAAGTGGAAACCATTAAATGATTAACAAAATATAAAGAACAATTGAAATCAGAGCGTAACTTCATGAAAAATCCAAACAACGATCTTATTTCCAACCAAAATTACTCGGTAACAACTCGATCTCACAACTACCTGGTACCCAACTAAAAACTTCCCTTTCAAAATCAGTAGAACCGTCTTTCAAATCTACTTCACTCCTCAACCCCCAAACCAAAAAGGAACCACCAGATGCTACAATGACAAGGATCAGAACCCTAGACATCATGTCCCAACAAAAGGTCCAGAACAAAGCCTCAAACTCAGAGCATTAGAGCATGAACAAGCAACTAACTCCCACGCTTGTTGAAAAACAAATGGACCAAATAAAAACTGAAAAAAAAAAAGCATCAAACAATAAAATGCAGGACTAAATGGCATGCATTCATGCTAAACCGCTGCTGCAGATTAAGCAAAACACCAATCAGCAAAGAACCAGGAAAGTGCAAAAGGACTAAAATATTTAAATAAAAAATAACCGATTAACTGCTGACAAGGGAAAAAAGAATACTTGAACGGGGGGAGATGATGATGATGTAGTGACGATCCGGTTGTTTTCAGGCGAATCCATGATTCGAAACCCTATCCTTATCCTGGAGCCCTCTCTGCATCTTCTCTCTCTCGTTGCCTGAAACCGACTGAAGTCTCTAAAAAAAATGAGTTCCTTTTTTTTTCTTTTTTTCCCCTCTTTACTCAGGAGATACAAGTGAAATGGAGAGAGAGAGAGAGCGCCAACTCTTAAATCCGGGCGGGAGTTTGCTTACGCCGTGATATACGGAGTATATACGCTGTATTTAATAGAATAATGTATAAAGCACCTGTTTTATTACTACACTAGGGTTACTACCTCCAATTGACTTGGTGGGAAACTCGAGACAATCAACAAGAGTTTTTGCGGTTGTCTTAGGTCAGCCTAGGATAAACATTAAACGGTCCACGCACAGACCCTTGTCTGGATGATTAAAATTCATCTGCAACCAAACAGGCCTGTAAAATCGATGTGTATATTCAAATTCAGTAGGGTTGTCAATGAGTCGGGTCGACCCATGGACCTGAACCATTTGAAGTGATTAAAATGGTTCTGGCTCTACGATTTTGTTGTAATTAATAATTGAATATGTTCTAATTTTTGCTTGTCTCAAATTGATTAAAACATATAATCAATTATTTTATTAAATATATATAATATTTTTTTACTTTTCTTATAATTTGTATCATAGTTTAAACTTAAATGATAACTTTGATAAATAAATAAGATAATATTATTTAATTTATTAACACAAAATAATTTAATATTTTTTATCATTGTTATTAAGATTATGTTATTAAAATTTAAAATTTAAATTATTATTTAAATAAATAAGTATATTTTCAATATAATCGAGACTATCAAGTCTAGACTGTTCAGATTAAACTGGTCGGGATAAATAATGTTGTTGCACGGTACATCAAAAAAGCTCCCATCCTCCAAAAAGAATGTTGCAATAGGCAATAGCCACATTTGTAAATCATCTTTTCTCTTGGGGTGTTTGGTTGTATTGTCTTTGCATTTTAAAGTTTAAGTCGATCAATACAAATTATCTTATCGAAAATATTTTGAGTTCGTCAATATAAATTGATCAAACCAAAACGCAGGAAAAACAAAACACCACCTACCAAACACCCCGTTTGTTAACAAATTTTTCACCTTTCCTTCTCAAAAGAAAAGAAAAAAAAAAGTTCATGTTGATCGACATTTGACAAAAGTTGGATTGTATGTTCATTTTTCGAGGGTGTTTGGTTCCGTTTATGTTTATTCAATAAACGTTTATTAACGATGTCACATAGGCGCCACTTCAGCATTTTCTCTCTCTTGCTCTTCTGCATGCATAAAAAATGAATATAGTCAACTTTGGCATTTGTGCATGCCAATCGTTTGTGGAAGTTATTTTTTAAAACTTCCACAAATGGCTAAGTGTTTTTTTCAATGTTACAATCTGGTGGTGCCTATTTGTCATAAACGGTTGTAATTATTGTATTTCTTAGTTTTACCAACAAATAAGGTACAAACATTTATTCAATAAACATAAACAGAATCAAATACATACTTCTTTTCTTTTTTCCCAATAAACAAAACGACTTTAAAATATGATTCATACATGGGATGAATCAACACAACTTCATTAGGTTGGGCATAGTTTTCATTGGATATGAATTAATCCATAATGCTTCATAAATGGGTGTTTAAGCCAACTTTTAAGTGTTGGGGGTTGATGGCGTGTGATACTAGTTTTTTTTTTTATTATTGATTACTGGCCTTTGACTCCATAGGGGCCCTAATTCAATTTCCATGGCATGGTACAGCACTTTTTTATCTAGCAACATTATACTCTTCTCAAAGGTAAATTTGGAGTCATTAGTAACGGGCTCGAAACCACATCTCGTCTCGGGCTTACCCAATTACGTGCCAACTAAGCCACCACTCGATTGAGTGTGGCACAAATTGAACGGCTGAAATGTTGTTTTCATACTACAGATTTTTTTTTCCATATCCAACTTCAGTTTTTTTTTCACATTACAATTGCTATTATTTTTCATCAACTCAATATTGACCTTTCATTTGTATTTGTACTCTTTCCAAACCAAGCCTCAAATTCAATTTCAAATTCAAATTTGTTTTTATCATTAACATATATTCTCCATCCTCTCATTAACCCACCATTAAAATCCCTTGATTCTCTTTATACTAGTATTAATTGCATTAAATTCCCGGGATTAACTATTAACCCATAAACTCTATAGTATAAAATATACAAAGAGTATTCAAACCTTTTTTATTTTTTGTTTGTCAGAAGACAACAAATTCACCGTATATCAAGTTAAAAGACACTAAGACCTCGTTTGTTTTTTGGTAAGTTACTTACCCGGGTAAATGTACTTATCCAGATAAGTGTTTTCCAAGAAAGACTTACCTGGGTAAGTGTATTTACCCATGTTCTTTTTATTTTCCATGCAAACAAGACAATGGGCATTTTAGCCATAAAAATCCATTATTACAAGAGGCAATTTTGTCCCATTCAAGTGTTGGCAATTTTCTCCCAAGATGCGAAAGTTATTTACCCACCTAGGAGATGGGTACCTAGTAAAATAAACTTTCCCTAGTCCCCACCTAAATATGAAAAAAGAACATGGGATTCTTGGCCAATGGGAATCAAAATCCCATTGACCAACTTTCCCCCCTCTCAAAATCCAGAAAAAGAATGCCCCCCTAAGAATTACAACTAATGAGAGATGGGCAATAGACCAAGTGTGCACATCTGAGAATCTCCCTCTAGTCTGAATGAGGACGCCCCCGCCATGTAGCAAGAGCTGCTCGGGCCTCTAGCACAACTGGATCACTATTCACTAAACAGACATTTAACAACTCGACCAGTAATGATCTCTAATAGAAACCCTAATTCCTCCACAAGATTGCGCTAGCTGAAGTTCCATCAAAATTTACTTTTATCTGTAGAAACAATAGGTTTTTGCCACGATGAAAATAATGACTATAGTGCTGAATTCAATGAGGGGATCAGAAACAGTTTGTGTTCTGTGCACCCATGGGTACACTGGACGCATGAACCCACCAATAAGGAGTTACCCCATTAACATTTTGAGTTTTGGCTTTAGTTAACAGGCTTTCTCTCGTTAGTAACTGGAGTCCGATTGAACCGAACACAAAAGGACAAAAAATACATCAAACCACTAAAGGATTTCATTTGAACTCATTCCTTTCCTCCACCGAGCCTTAATTCAAAAACATCCACATCCCACCGGCRTTCGTGGATGCAAAATCCACTAGCGGCGGTCCGGCGGTAAGTGGTCAATATTCTTCTTCTTTTTCTTCTTCCTCTCCTTATTCATCTTCCTCCAATCTTATTCTTCTTGCTCTTATATGAGTTCACGCTTCCCGAATTCGAACTCTTTTATGCAAGCTCAGTTCCACTGATGCATGTCTTTCCAATTTTATCAATGTTCTTATAAATCTTTCTCTCTCTCTAACGACCTAATTAATGACTGCATGTCTTTCCAATTTCCTCTGGTCTCTAATTTTTCCCTTTTGATTTTATCGCTTTAAAAGTAATTAGTGATAAACCTATTGATTTTTCCTCTGATCTCTGATTTCACTGTTTATGTCTTCATCATCTCGTATTGTTAAAAGCCTCTCTAAAAGCCTTTTCTGTGAAAGCCAAAATCTGGTCTGAATCATCTCATTGATCTTAAAACAGTGTGTAGATGTCGGCAACATGGAAGCTTGTTATACCCTAGCCAATGGGACGTGGGATGTGAGATGTTTTTGGGTTAGGATTCGGTGGAGTAGAGGAGGAAGAGGGAGTTTAAAGAAGCTTGGAAGAAGAGGAAGGAGAGGAGGATGAGTAATGGGAAGAAGAAGAAGAAATAAGATTCTCTGCTTACTGCTAGACTGTCGCCGGTGGATTTCGCATCCACGAATGCCGATGTAAAGTGAGATCGCCGGTGGGATGTGGGATGCTTCTAGGTTAGGGCTCGGCAAAGGAGAGGAGGAAGATGGAGTTCGAATGGATTTAATGTATTTCTTGTCCTTTTGTATCTGGTTCAACTGGATACCAGTTGATAACGGTAGAAAGCTCGTTAACTAAAACCAAAATTCAAAATGCTACGTGGTAGCTTCTTGTTGGTGGGTTCACGCATCTAGTGCACCCATGGGTGCATAGAAGGGTGACTCAAAGAAATATGACATTCAATTTCTTCAATCTATGCATGCGCTAAGATACCCACCTAGAGATGATCAAAACCATGCCTATCCATAATCCATTGGCACTAGCATTTCCATATGTGCCACATGAAGATCACTCATTATCTATGGAGAACAAATGATAGAGCCACTTTGATAAATTCCAATCCATCTAACTATGAACATGAAGAGAAATGTTGGAAGCAAACCAATTTGGTCGAGTAGCTAGGCATTTGAAGAATAAGTGTTTTTTATCCTCTCATTGTCATGATATTCTTCCCTTCGAGTGCAGCTATGTTAAGGCTGCAATGTATGAAAGAAGATGGTCATAGAGTCAAATCCATATTAGAGGGATGGAATGGTTGTTTTCTCTCCCCAGTTCCCACCCCAAAAGAGTAGTGGTAGTTGAATCTCCCCTCTCCCTTCTTATGCAATGGCCACTAAAATTTTTCCATATAACTTTTGTGAGAAGCTCACCTCGCTCACTAGAAACTTCTAGTGGGGCTTCACTGATAATAACCATATCTAATTATATGAAGAGATCAATGGTCAGTTGTTTCTGATTCAAAAGAGTTTGAGTGCATGATTAGGCTTCACTAGAAACTTCTAGTGTTTTGTTTTTGTTTTTTTAGCTAAAAGGTAATAGATTTCATTAATATAGAAGGGTACATAAGAAAATGTACAGTGGGGAGATTACAAGGGCATAACTCTCTCAATGTGTAAAATGCTTTTATGAGTTCCAACTTTAGCCAAACTGCCTACTATAGAATTTAACTCTATGGGAATCCAAAGCAATGATGCATTCAAGGATTCCAAGATATCTCTAGCCTCATCCAAATAATGAGCTAATCTCCATGATCCTCTAGTCTTTTTCCCTAACCATCTGATGGTGTAGATCAAGTTCCCTTTGATAATTAGGGAAGAGAGTTAAATTCCCTAATGCAATGGTTTATATAGTAATTTTTAACTTATCAAA